ATAGTTCATCAACTTTTCAAGACAACTAGAACAACAAATAAATAACTAGTTGATACACATTTTTAATCGTCAATACTGCGTCGATGTGAGTGGTAAAAATACGACGAAAAAATAGACAAACATTTAAATGATTACAATGTTGATTATTATAGGATATTATGATAATAATAATTTGTCATGCAGAGACAATTTTAAAACCAATTTTTAAAACATATTAAATACTTTATTAATATGTCGAGTATTTTTTGCAACGATTGTTGTTATTAACTTCTCTATTAAAATTAAAATGTGATTTTTCACTAACAGAGACTTGCTATTGGCTATAATAACAAAAGTATCGTCCTTAACAATTATTACAGACAACATCTGACAAAACTTTATGAAGTAATGTAATAAATTTTAACATTGGCAGTGGTCCTAGTCAATTGTTATTACCTTTTCATGGCTAGTGCTAAAAAAAGGCTTACAATGGAGTTAAACTTTAAATAGTGTTGTTTCTAGGAATGATCATTTAATGCACGTAACATTATGGAAGTCCATACTTCAGCATTTTTAGTACCTAATAAATGTTCACGGTAAACATAAAGTCATTTGTTGGTAATTTGAAAAATTGACTTTTCAGCTTTATTTTTTATAAGCAATTTTGCCTATCATTTATAAAAAAGGAGAAATTTTATTTTTAAATTGACTTAATCCAAAAATTCACTTGAACTTTTCTTGTCAACGCATGACCATAACTGTACTGAATAAATCATATTATTAAAGTTCTCATTTGGGAATTTAAAACAATAATTTTTTAGTTGCTGATTTATATTTAAAGCCAACTAACTGGATATTAGAATCAAAATACTTACTACAGTTTTCAGTTGCAATTATGTATAAAGCAAGATCTATTAAAAATCGTTAAATTCCTCTGACTATTATTTATGATAACTAAAGAGCAAGTCATAGTCGATCTGCAACTATTTAATTCTGCTGAAGTGTCTGTCGGTAGACCATTACCTTTTTATTCATTTTTTTTTAACTTCAATGAGATTATAGCGTTGCAACCGTGTGATAAATTTAAGCAGGTATACAGGTACTTTTAATCAATTCTTTCTTACTTTTAAACCTAAAGTCAAAGTATAGGAAATCCAGAAAATGATAAAATCAGTTAAAACACTCATAGTAGGAATTAAATATTGCTTTCTTTAACATTACAAGTGTGAAGATTATAGAAAATTGATAATACTTATTATTATCTTTCTCAATTTTATTTAAAGAAGTGATGAGAGAAAGTGCACATTATTCAAATTAAATTCTAAATAGATTTACTGAAAGGAATTGCTAAAATATTTCTGCATCTAAATCTCCACAGCGTTGAATCAAATGCCACGATGTTTCAATGAATTGCAGCGGTAGCAGAGCCTATTAATTCTGTCAACATTGACATAAATTACTATCGCTTCCGTATTCGATATTACTTGTGGATTCGTCAGTGAAAGTTTTTAAAATCCTTTCAAAACCAATGCACTTCGTAGTTCATTTGATAATTAAAAGATTATGAAATGAGAAAACATGCAGGTGACGCAAATATTTTCATGAAACGGTGACCAACTGAACTCTAGAACTCACTGAGGAGCTGGATTCACTATTACTATTTTTTTCTGTTGTTGTTGTTGTTGTTGTGTTAGATGATTTATCAGAATCTATTTTATTATCTTCCTCATCTTCGTCATCGTCATCGTAATCTTCATCCGGTGGGAATGTTGGTAACACAACGTTTACTGAACTTCTTCCTTCTCCTCCGCCTCCTAGACCTCCAGATCTAAGTAGAGCTCCTCCTACTACCCGAAAGATTGTGCTTGTCAAGTTTTGGATGACGAGATCAATTACCTAAATTCAAATATCTTTGTTATCTTATGAAAGTCAATAGTTTTCCTTTTCATTTTTTAAATCATAAGCCATGTTGTTCAGCACCACAAACGAGTAATAAAATAATTATATTTGTGAAAATACCCGAGTCGAAAAATTGGGACTCATTTTATCCTCAAATGAACTCATTTTTTCCTCATTTAGACGTTTTTAATCTGAGATACCTCAGTAAGTTTTCATAAGACTCATCACATTGGATTCTAAAAAGTCTCATTTTATTCTCAATTTAACCTCAACAAGAAAAGAATGAGACTTTTTGAAGACAAAATGAGGTTTCCTAAATAATCTTTACTCCTCAAAAGTCTCATTTTGTCCTGATACGGGAAAACCGCGGATAAAATGAGACTTTTGAGTCTTGTAGTTTGAAATATCCCTAAAAATTCTATTGAGATCAAATGAGGACAAAATGAGTCCCAATTTTTTGACTCGGGANAATTTTACTTTCTTCTTTCGACTTTAGCGATTACTGACAGAACGTCTACTTTTACTCATGACAGACGTTATAAGGAATATTGTAAACTTAGAAAAGAGATGTCAGGTAAGAATGACAATAAAGAAAAAGAGATAACATTACACCAATTAATGTATAACAGAAAGAGATACATATAAGCAGAAGAAAGTTGAACATTCTCAGAAATTTAGGAAAGTAAAGATGTAATTCTAACCAGGCAGTTATAAAACCGACCCTGATCTTTTGCGTACCTAGGCAACATCTAACGATCTAACCGCTGCACTGCTTACTATTGTTCGGTTATCTCTTTTCACTTTGTCTGTACTACTCATGAAGCATTTCCTAACTTGATAAGGGCGTGTTCAAAACGCAGCAAAAGACTACAGTCCCAAGTGGAAACAAGAAAGCAGATACATCCATTCTCACAGATAATTTATTGCGAACTATGCCAATTTTGATCGTACCGACTATAGACACAATATCAGAGGAACGTCAGGCACCTTCACCATTTTTAATAAACACAACGTATGTACTAGAATAATATGATATGGATGGAGTATAAACCGGAGGAGAGACGGCACTAGGCCCTTGTGTTCATGAGTTATTTATATTTTAATTTAAATTATTGCAATTTTATAATTCTGGTTGAAAGAAATTTTATAGTTTGGGTTTGAGTTTATAATTGCTAATCGTATTAGGTATAAGAAGGTTGCTAGTGAGCCTGCACCTTTACTAACTTGTTAGTTACCTTGAAGAGGCTTATAACCAATGGGTGAAACATTGCTTTTCTGGAAAAAATACTGTTTTTTTATCTGAACTTGTTCTGTATAAGCTAAGGAAACGAAATGGAGATGCGATTGTACATTATTTGTAACATAAGTGGTGAAATTGAACTTAAATTTCCATTTTAATATAATTTTGTTTAAATTAACATTGACTTTTATGTAGTAAAACTTCTCATAAACGAATAACAAGTTATTTTTAAATTATTATGGGATTATGCAGAAAAAAGCAACTGTAGATGAAAATTCATATGTACCTGCTACAAGAATATTACACATTTTGATTTATTTTGAGTTATTGATGCAGCTCTACTAATTATCTACAACTGCTATGAAACCTTTGATGAATCTGAAGTCTTTTATTGTTATTACTCTGTAGTGGTATTTCCTACTTATTTAACATTTCTTAATTCACCACGTTTACGTGCAATAGTTCCTCATTGGTCACCGATCGGTGAGCAGTCACATTGAATTGCATACAGCGTTCTTTCTTCCTATAATTTTCCTGTCTACAAAAAGTCTCTACTATTCGAAGCAATTCTTAAAATTACGGGTACCGATAGACAATTTACTAGTTGCTTTATTAAACAATAGTGTTGGTTGTGACATTATGAGAAAATGTGACAAGTAGAAGAAGTCTATTATTTGAAGGAAAATTTACCCTATGTACTGCCTTGGTATCTACCTGCATATTTTAAACAGAAATAGATTCAGCTACATATTAGAGATCATCTCGATTTTTGTAAATTAAGAAAAAGATAGATGTGATAAAATCTTTATATGTTCCCAATTTCAGGAGATACTTGCATTGCCTAAATCAAACAAAATTGTCCCAAATATTAGCTATATAATGAACTAGTTTGGTCTACTAAAAGTTGGTGTGTCCCGATATATTACCCGCCAAATGTGATTTCAGGCTAAACTAATTTGGCTAGGCCAAACTAATTTATTCAGAAATCGGGTTATATTACATATCAAATTAAGATATGCTAAATTAATCATAACCTAAGTTGTGAATACCATTAAAAAATATATAAAAATAAATAGTTAGATAGGCTAAGGCTAAATCAGACTAGTTTGTTCTATCACTTTTTAGGTAAACCAGTTAATAATAAGTAAATCTAGTTTATCCTGAAATCAGGTTTGACAGGTACAACAATAAATATTTATGTTAGTCATTTATGTGTGGTTTGGAGAAATCTGCAATCTTTGTTCTATTTTCAAGGCAGTTAGTTGTGAATTGTAGCCGAGCGTTTATGTAATTTTGCAAATCTGCAAAAATCTTCAACTATTGTGTTCTTTTCCATTTGAAATGAAATGTAGAAATGCGCCTATTACAGACATATACAATAGTATATTGTGTAGGCGTTCAATTGGTACTTATCATTAGATTTATTCTTATCACGTACACGCGTTGTGCGTTTAAATAAACACAACTTGAAAGTTGTTACATATGTGCGGGCTCTGGCATATTGCCACATCGTAATCAAAAGCAAGAAATAAACAAAAATAAGACAGAATTGACCGGCTTTCACCAACCGTTACCTGCGAAGGTTTGCGAGGGACATTATGCTCTCAAATTAACTTATGTCATACCTGCATTGTAACCAAAAGTAAAATTACGATCATACAGATAAAGGCATAAGATGCAGCATGATATTTTTTAAGTAATTGAAGAAGAAAAATCACTCTAATGGGTCCTTCAAGATGGGCTATTTGAGATTATTGTAGAAATTCATAGAAAGGGTGTTTCTGAGAAGTTTTTTAGGGAGACATTTTTCGATTTTGTTGGCTGGTTTTCCCATTAGGGGGCATCAAACCTGACTAATATTGATTTGGAAAATCTTAGACTTATTTTAATGATTTAGAAGCCGATTCCTGTAGATTGTAAAATGTTTTATAAGAGCATGGAAGACTTTTCTTGAATGAAATAGTCTTTTTGAGAAATATGATATTTAAAGAAGCAATCATTAAAAACTTCTTTCATGCTTGTCATTCAATTTCCATTAAAAAATGCGATTTAATTGCCACTGATAATAATTAATGGTAATAAATGGAGAATTGCCAATGGGATTCCCATTTCCGAACTCAATGGGATTTCCATTGGTGAACGCAATGGAAATTCCATTGCGTTGATTAATGGAATCATTCAAAATGGAAACAATTGATTTTCTATTTATCTATCTATTTATTTATGAATGGTTTTATACAGAATTTATAAATTTTGCATTTGTTTCCATTAAAAATCAATGGAAATTTTTCCCATCTAAATATTAATGGAATTATATTCTGAATGGAAACAATTATTTTTCCATTTATGCCAAATGGTTTTGAATGGAATTTACAAATTTTCCATTGATTCCCATTGAAGTTCAATGGAAATTTTTCCTACGG